TCCAGATTAAATCACTTGATGTTAAATTGTAAGCAAACTGAAACAGGAATTTTCATACACGAAAACACATTTTCAGTTGAGTTAGTGATATAATCAGAATCATTAAATTCTGTACATCACACTTTTTAAACGCTAAATGCAAATGACAAAAATCTTAGGAAAACAATGGTATCAGGCAGTTCTGTCATCTTTAAGCCTGAGCATTGAATGAATCTTAACACCATAAACTACTTGATCCATGGTACCCTATCGCTAAGATCCTGCCGAAAGGAGCAAATGTCAGGGATAATTTGGCTCCTAAGCCAATTGCAGTGGAAAGAAGGGATCATTTCAAGACCAATTTGGAACAGATTAATGAAAAAAAGTCTTAACAGGCCGTGTATCACTAAAAGAATGCTGGTCAAATCCATCCCTAATGAGGGTGGGGAGATAGAAAAGATTGTGAGAAACAAGTCAGGACCATTAACCTTGGGGTATTAAGGAGATCCTTGAGAGCCTAATTCTTGTCACAAGGTCAAGCTTTTACAAAGCAATTATTAAAGATCTCTATAGTATCAACATACAGACACACACACATATATCAAAGCCTTTTAACCTTGGGGATTCTGAATTTATTTCCCTTCTAATCACTTTTCCTCCCCCCTGCTTTCCTTGTTTGTAGAGGTACATGTTGGGGTTCCTATAGAGCTGGTGTGCTTAGTGCCTTGTGCAAGCAATCTGATTGTACTTGTCAGTCCCAAAAAAAAGGGGAGAACCAGATGTATAATAGAATCATAGTCCCTTGGGTTAGAAGGGTCTTTAAAATATCATCTAGTTCCAACCCCCTTGCTATGGGCAGGGACATCTCTCACCTGAATATGTAAAGTAGAATGCTGGATATAAAGAGAAAAATAAAATCTTCATTTAAAGCCTATGCTGTGACAGACAAGTCCAACATGACTACAACTGTAATTTCTGCTCTTGCAACTGAGGTACAGAATTGTACAAATCTCATTGTGGAGTTGCAGAGCTCAGATAACAGATTGACTGCATTGTGCTGCTGTCAGTTCATCAGCGTGTGGGCATTCTCATTAAAATCACTGAGAGCAAACGAGCTAAACAGTGATGCACTTGGGAGTAGCAGAGCTTGTCCTCTCATTGAGCTGCATAGGAATTCTTCCTGGGCAGTCACTCTGGGATTTGCTCTGGTCTCATGGGCCACTTAATTGACAGTATGTTAACTTCTCTGCAGAGTGAAAAACAGAACTAGGTATTGGACAGTGCAGGAAGAAATATTTGCTTTATGTAAATACATTTTTATAGATGGCCAACTGCTGAAATGAGTAGAAGTTTAGGAGTTTCATGGTAAATATTACCTGTGCAGTACTGTGTGAAAATCTGTTCAAAATGTGAGCGGTTTAGCTTAATTTGATTGTTTCCTTTCTCAGAAATCACTGCTGTGTACTAAAATCTATTTTATTGTCAGGTTGGAACACAGTCTATGGCAACGGAATGGCAAAAATGTTGAAGTTTGAAAGAGAATACTAATACAAAATGTCAAAAAATTCAAGTCTCAAATGCAAATTTTTTTCTTGTTTTCATGAGAAAGATACCAGAAGCTACATCCTGGAAGGCTTTTAAATGCTTTCAAACATAAAGGAGAGGTGAAATCTTCAAAAATAATTCTGTAGCTGGTCTCATCTCTTTATGTACAACCCCTGCCTGCTCTGGCAGCTTGTTTACTGTTGTCTGTATAAATCTCATACAGATTTTTAGATGTATCCTGTAAATTTACATTAAAACTAATTTAGCCTCAGAAATTTTTAACAAAATATTCTTATCATTCTGTTGGAAGTAAGACTGCCATCTTGCAAATAACATATGGTTGCTTATTCTGAAGCTGTGAATCTTTTGCTGTGCAGGAACCACTATGTCATGTGCATTTTTCAGTGCCACAGCAGTTGAGTCTTCAGTAATAATACCCAGAAAAAAGTCAGGATTGTTGTATATTCATTTTCTTAACTTGAATGTCTGCCCATTCTGATATACCTAAAATGCAATCTGTCAAGACCTAATAAAAAGCCTGAATACTACAAAACTATGATTTCATTCATATTTGATTCTATTTGTTAGTTATATGCATAGAAATACATAAGGTCAGGCTTATAGTTCAGCCATACCAATGTAAAAGTAGAGAATCTGTCTATTAGTATAGTTTAAGGTGACCATTTCCTGATAATCTAGGAAGAATAGATTTTTATTTTCAGCAGCAACTTAAGTTATTTTACCAAAGTATAAATTTACAGCAAACTATTTTGTCATGCAAGAGTCGGGTACAGATATTTTAAAATTTAACAGGGTCATAACCTATTTTCTGAAAACTGAATACACTCAAATAACCAAATTCAGAAATATTAATGATCAAGCAAGTTTTTTTCCTCAGTTTTTTAGGGCTCTTTGTAATATTGAGAATCTTATGTGTGATTCTATTTGTACATGTGTTTTTAAAGTGACATGCGTCTTTTCCCTAAAATTCAGGTCTATGTCAACACCCTTCTCTACAAAACTCCTCTTCTAAGGTAACCTGGAAATTGAAAATTTAACTTAGTGTGTGCTGTTGTGTCTGTGAATCTGTAATTTTATCTTCATTGCACTATTTCATCTTTTCAGTTTGTTTCCTGGGTGCTTATGCAGAGCTGTGACAAAGCTGAATAAAAAAAGGTATGAAACATACGTTTTTTAAAAAATCCTACTTGATATTTATTAAAATATCAACTTTTTTGACAATAGCAAATGCTACTCCTCAATTTTGTAGCAGATGTTATGGAAATTAGCAGTGGCTTCTGCAGAAACCCTGGGTCTGACTGCAAAAAACAGACTGTGAGATTCTGAGTTCCCAGCTTCAGTTGGAGCAAGGACTCCACTGCGAGGATGTATCTCTGTCAAGAGGGTAAAATTCCTTTATATATGCAATGCTGTTCTACAGCTGTCTGTTTCCTCTCATGCAGTTCAACTGTAAGTGATTGATTAAAATGTTATTTCCACAGGCCCCATGTCACTTGTTTCAAAACTCACATAGGAATATTCTGGAGCACAGCTACAGGTTACAAGTGTACGAACCTTAATTCTGCAGCATTCATTGCAAGTCTTGCAAAGAGAAGGTGGAGTACAATGTAGGTTCTTTCCTATTCTCCTTCACCCTCACTTCTCTGCCTCAAGTCATTGTCCTAGGTCTGCACCACTGCTTCCAAACCAAGTACTTCTGACAGGAGAGCACACACTCCTTCTGCTTCTTTGATTCTGTCACTCTACCTTGGATAATTTTTGTAACAAACATAGAAGTGTAACCATCCTCGAAGGAGTCATGTAAGAGAAGGCAGAGAGGCCTGGCAGAGAGACCTAGACAAGTTAGAGGGCTGGGCAATCACCAACTATGGCAAATTTAACAAAGACAAGTGCTAGATTCTGTACTGGGGACAGGTCAACCCTGGATGTATCTGCAGACTGGGGAATGAGAAGCTGGAGAGCAGCACTGCGGAAGGAGACCTGGGGGGGCCTGGTCAAGGCCAAGTTGGATATCAGTCAGCAGTGCCCTGGCAGCCAGGAGAGCCAACCGTGTCCTGGGGGGCATCAGGCAAAGCATCGCCAGCCAGGCGAGGGAGGAGATTGTCCCGCTCTGCTCTGCATTGAGGTGGTTTTAAGTCCTGTGTCTTTTGAGTCCTTTCAATGTAGAGCTTGAGTCCTGTGTGCAGTTTTGGGAGCCACAATGTAAGAAGGATATAAACCTATTAGAGAGTGTCCAAAGGAGGAACACAAAGATGGTGAAGAGTCTAAAGGGGAAGCCATACAAGGGGTGGCTGAGGTCACTTGGTCTGTTCAGCCTGGAGAAGGGGAGCCTGAGGGGACACCTCATTGTGGTCTACACCTGCCGCACGAGGGGAAGTGGAGGAGCAGGAACTGCTCTCTTCTCTCTGCTGACCAGTGACAGGACCGGAGGGAACAGCATTCATCTGTGTCAGGGGAGGTTCATGTTGGATATTAGAAAAAGTTTTTTCACCCAGAGGGTGGCTGGGCACTGGAACAGGCTTCCTAGGGAAGTGGTCACAGGACCAAGCCTGACACAGTTCAAAAAGTGTTTGAACGACAGTCGGGCCCATGGTGTGATTCTCAGGGATGGTCCTGTGCAGGGCCAGCAGTTGGACTCAATAATTCTTGTTGAGTCCCTTCCAACTCAGTATATTGTATGATTGTAAATCTCTTAGAGCAATAAGGTTCTGTAAGTTTGTTTTGTATGACCTGCACAAACCAGGGCAAAGATTACCAGTAACAGCTCAAGAAAGAGCTATAAAGTTGTCTTTATGCATTTTAACACATTTACCATGCACAACTCTGCATATAAAGTCCTCCAAATAAAGGAGATGAGCTAGCACTGCTGCACATGGCCAGGGAAAAGCTGGCCTGCCAGGAAAGGATTGCTGCAATCTGTGGACCTCTAAAAACGCAGTATCATCCTGTTCAGTCATGCACTTGAAACTGGTCACTACAAAAAAGACTAAGAACTCATGATAGCAGCAATAATGGCACAGTGAAGATGACTTTCAGTTACACAGAAGAAATGCAAATTTCAGGACAAGGATTATGTGAACTGGCACAGTAAGTTAGTTCACAGTCACCTTTATTTAAAAAAAACAGTGCTTCTACCACTCCAGTGTGGTAAGAAAGACTTCATGGCATCAATCAAGTGCACTCCAGAGCAGTAATGATTCCCAAATTGAAAAGGGTATAGGTTCGAGAGGATTTTGTTGCTGTGTCACATAGACTGTGAGCACATAAGCAGTTGAGACTGCACTGGTGTCCTGATAAGCATCACTTTGGACTGGATTACTTGCCAGTGAATGTAGGTGCTAATTAAAGTATGCAACCTTTTTTTTTTCAGGTTAAGCCACTAAGTGTTAATTTTAGTGTTTAACAAGTTCATAGCTAGAAGATGCAGAAAGACTGAATAGTCTCTTGAAGAAATCAATAGTTGTACACTTTTTGTGGCAGGGAGGACTGAGTCTTGCTAGATATTTCGGCAAAGTACATTAATAGTAAGTATTTAATATAACATACAAGGATGGCATTCACATTGTGGACTTGTGTCATCATAAAAGTACAAAGGAAGGCCTCTTATAAAAATAATCGAGTCAGTTGCACAGTCAGTTTGATCAAACTACTGAAGAGTGGAAATTGCATCTCTTCTTCTGATTTTAAGAGAACTTCTTCATGAAGTGCAGTTTCAGGTACGCAATGGTGAAGAATATTATTGACATGCAGGCAAGTGCCAGGTGGTTCTGCCACAGGCCCCAGGTACTCGCATCAATGCCTTGCCTTTTCAGGTAGTCATCTCCAGTACACGACCTGCAGATAAACACACATGCGTTTATAAACTTTGTCAGTTTGAAGTACCTAGGAAGATCCCTAGAAGCTGCAGTGTGATTTCATGTGTATAGCAGGTCAGGCGAACACCAGCTATGTTACTGTTTCATTTTCTATTTGTAAATTTGTTTGTCTTGTAGCTCCAGTTTCCTATAGGAAGCTGAAATGGATTTTGTGAGGTTGTAAAATTGTAGTGTGTGTGCACGTCTTTCAGTAAATGCAGTTTGAAGAAAAGGGAAGAAGCATAATGTCAGATATTTCTAGTCTTATAAATATTAACTATGACAACGGGCAGAATGCGTGTTCTATGCAGGCAGAATGCAAAAACCCAGTCAAAACTTCATTTTCTCTAAAAAAAATCACAGATTCTGCTGGTCATCAGTGTGTATCTCTGATACTCAGAATAATATTTTAGGACTTCTGAAGTTACTGATGGTGGGATTCATTTCAATGAATCAAAATACTTACATCGGGCTCATTTGTCGATAGCTATCATCGCTGCTTAAAACTGTGGTGTTAATGCTGCCGCAGAAGTTCAGACCCTTCAATTCATTGATTTGTAAAGCCTTTTAAAATAAAGGAAACAATGACAACAGAAATCAGTAGGCAAAGGAATGATACATTACCAAGATGAGATATAATGCAATTAAAATTTATTCTAAAAATGTGATGGTATCACTATTATGTTGGCCAAATTTCCATTTTTTAAGGTGAGCAGCACGGTTCTTTTTCTTTTAAGAAAGGAATGTATGCAGCCCACACCCTGCTAAGCATGCACAACATCAGGCTTTACCACCTCCTCCAGGCTAGACTATTTCTGCAGGGGCATAGTAAAGCCCAAATTTCTCTGCAAAACATCACCCTAGCTATATTCTCAAAAATTAGGAAACAAGCTTTACCTTGACAAGTTTCTGTCAAGACGGAAAAGAGAAAGTGATGCAAAAGAGTTTAATTTAATTTCTTCTTTTAGTGATAACATTGTTCTTTACTTTGTATCGTTTTTGTCCAGCTGCATTGCACTGGGCGTAGTAGTTCAGATGCTCCCTCATATGAGGTGTTTCTAGGTTACAGAAATGAGCTCTTCTAGACAGCAGTGGGTGCTGGTTGATGAGAAACCTTTCTTGCTTCAAGATGCTCCACTACGTTCCGAGGTTGCTGTACTTAATTAGTTTCCTTTTGCTCATTAGACCATAAAGTTTGAACTTTTCTTTATCATGAGTAAAGACATTCTTTTCTATCAAACCTTTTCCAAGTCTGTACACAGGAAAATACAACACTTACTGTCATTCCATATCGAGGGATGCTAAAGTATTTGAGCCAGGAGAGCCAGGGCATGACACTTGGGAGATTGACCAGCAACCCAGAGAAAAGCTAGAGACAAGAATTACAAAAAAGCCACAACAACAACAAAAAAAGCAAATTACAAATTACATGCTGTTATCATGTGTTCTTCTCTAGCTCTTGACTCTGTTTCTTCAGATATAAATGAGTGGGAAAGCATTTCTAGAGAAAAAAAATGCTCCAGTGGAAGAACAAGGGAGAGGGAAGGAATCAGTTGTTACCCAGCTTTGAGCCATAACCCCAGGTCCTTCTCCCAAAATAGGTTAACAGGGAATGCTTTTACCCTGTGCATTAAACCCCTCTGCTTCCTAGCAGGGGGTCCCACATGGGCTTGCATGAACTGTCTGCTGCCCCTCAGGTGTGCACCGGGTTTTGCCTGTGTGCCCTGAGTCTGAGGCAATGTGAATGTTGTCTGTGGGTTTGGGGCTGCCTCATTATTTATGGTGCCTCTTTCTCAGCTGGAGCTGTTTGTGTGTTGTCTGGCTCTGACATGCCCAGTGGTGGGCTCTGCAGCTGAGAAGCACAGCTGGAGTAGTGGTCTCAGAGAGCAGGAGGCTGCAGGTCATGTTCTCAGCCAGACACACTTGTCTTTTGCAAAGCTAAGGGCGAAAGAAAAAAATGTAGCTATAGGTGGCTTTTCTGCTTTCAAGGCAGTTTGCTGGTTGCTGGAGCCACATCAAAGAGGGTGGAGGAGCCACTCTCCCTCCCCCTCACACCCAAACCCCCAGCCCTCCAGTTCTTGTTTGTTCAAATGACAAATCAGAATATTCAACCCCACAGCATCAGAATACTCAAATCAGACAAATCAGGATATGCAACATGCTCGACCCCAACAGTCTTTTTGCAGAATTCAGCTGAACTCTGTGCTAGCAGGATTTCTACATTTCAGCATTTCTAGGATTTCAGGATTCAGTCTAGAAAACTGAATAATGCTACTCACAATCATAAAAACAAATGTGATAGTCATGAGTAGGTTTGCTACAGCGACCACGCTCTGTCCTGCTGCAATGGCTAGAGCCATAGAAGTGGCTGTGTAGGACACCATCATAAGGGTAAACATCATTGTAAAGAAGGCTTCTACTGTTGGTTTCAAACCTTAAAGATCAGAACAAGAAGGGTTTCAGTATGATCCTACCAAAAGCTCTACCATAAGCTGAACACTATCCTGAATTCCGTACTGTGTACTGCCTACAGACTACACTTTGTCTGACAGCATGGGCTACATCACCAAGACCCAAGACTGCCGTGGTGCTTGTGACAGCCCGTGTGTATGCCCTGACAGTGGAGGACAGGAGGAATAACTAGTAAGACTAGAAATGTCAGAACAGGTAGGAGTTAAAAGTATTGTACTCCACACATCCAAAGTGATGGCTTCACTGTGGCTTCACGTTGTCTATCAAAGAAGAAATTTCTAGTGCAATTCCATGAGTGGCACTTGTACAGCATTTCACTGGTTTCCTGCAGAGAGCTCTCCTAAAGGACCTAGTAGACTTATGGTGACTATGGATTTGGTAGCAAGGTCTATCTCACTCTAGTTTCACAGTCTTAGAGCCTCTTGCTGATGCAGCCTTTTTTCCCATTCCTTAGGGAAAAAATCTCAGACCAAAGCACACTGATTTTTTTTTAAGTCTTGCTTGTACTTTCAAGCTTTTGGGACATCCCAAAAGGATGTCATCATCTGAAACCTTACTCTAGGAAAATGGTCTGCTGTGGACATATTTTGAGGATGACATTCAAATGTGTTCCAGGGTTGTAAAAGCTGGTGCCAGCAACTTTCAAAGTCTGCTCACTAACCAGAAGGCATCTCGCCAAAAATAACAATTTAAAAATAACTAATTCACACAATATTAAGATCTTAAACCAAAAATTTTTCTTTTAGATGTTCTTGCAGGGATTGGAAAAGCATCTTGTAATAGTTATCAGAAGTTTAGGTTGGCCATAGATGAAAAGGAATAAAACAAACCTATGCAATAATGGTCATGTCATGCTTCCTTCTAGGAACAGGGGACATGAGATGTCACAGATTCTGTGTTGAATGCTTAAATCTTTGAAAGCATTTCTTTTCTGTAGAAAACCACATGGTGTGCTAAAAGCAACTGGCAGTAACCACTGCCATGCCAATGTAGTGCTTTACCCTACATAAATATGTATGTGTACATACACATCTATAAAACACATGTTCCATGTTGATTTATTGAGGGGGGTTGGGGGTTGCAGTGTGACTGTAGGAGACCATACTTGCCTAACATGAAGTAAACTATACAGGTGAAGATGATGCTTGGTAGAGTCCTTATGGGTATTAAATCAGCCATTAGCTTTGCGATGAAATACGCAGATGTTCTGTAGTACCCACTGATATATTCGTGTCTGGAACAGAGAGATATGTACAGCATATGACAAATGTAAATCACTGAAAATCAGTATGGTTATTTAGACAAATGAATTCTAGCTCAAACTGGAAAAAAATCTTTCACAGTTAGGCTGTAATGCAAATGTCCGGTAAGCCAGACACTGAACGTGGATACTTGTGCATATGGTTTTTAGTAAATATATATGGTGCTATCACAACAGAAAGTGTAAAGTTTAAATAATTTTCATTTTTTTATACAGTGTAATATGCATAGCTTTAAAAAATCCAGTTAGATAGTATTTACTGCCCTCACTAGCAAGTCACAAACTTATTAATCAATACCAAAATTGAATATTCAGGGAGGGGTTTTTTTCCTACTCTGTCAGTAATTTTAAACTTGTGATCATAGCTACTGTTTGGGGGATTTCCAGACAACTCAGAGGTTAAAAGAGCACATTTGCAATGAGCACTATCAGTGAAATAATTTGAAAACTCTCCACTAGGTGTAAGTAAATGACAATTAGCCACAGTAGGGCAGACAAACTTGGTTTCTAACAGTAGTGCCTGATAACCTTTTGTATCCTTTACTTACATAAATATCTTTTTTTCCACAACGAAGAGTTCAATAGCTGAGATGCTGCTGAAACACTGGTTGGTGGTCAGAAAGAACATTGCACCCACTCTATAAAAAGTAAAACAGCAAGTTGTTATTAAAAATGTGATGTAAATGTAGTGTTTCCACTCCTGCGTATGTAAATCCAAGTGTAGTGCCTGAAGTTTAGCAGTCTGTGACTTCTCATCCCAAATTCTACAGGAGAAAGCTTGGCTAGAAGTCTGAGCCTGTAACAAGCCTGAATCACAATGGTACAGTCAGTATTTGCTTTTGGCATGCAAGAATAGTAAGTTCTCTGATGCAGTTTTTTTATATAATTTCCTGACACATTAAAAGTTCTCAAATTGAGAGACATTTGTCTGATGGCAAACTGTGAGGAACTGAGTAAGCAACGTGAGAAGTAGTTTTCACTTTTTCCGCTGAAATTTAAGGCACTTCATACCCAATTTGAAACTGGGCCATTTTTAGGTAAATGCCATATATGAAGTGTTTCAGGACTAACAGCCCAGAAGTTTCATAGTTGCAAAATCATGTGTCAGGTCATGCATATACAGCTGTCAAAATGATACATAGACCAGAATAATTTGAAAATCTAGCTTTAGGTGCACCTTCTGACTTACTGCTGGTAAATTCAAGTGTGTGTATATAGAAACAGATGCAAGATTAAAGCTTTCATTTCCTAGGTTTATGTAGCTAAGTCTGCATATTTTAATCTTTATTCTTTTCATCTTGGAAAAATCTTTGTAGGAAATAAGTTGAAGTGCCGTCCTGCTAAATTAAACCTTTTTAATATGATGTCTGCTCTTCAGCATTTTTAGCAGCCTGACTGGCACTGAAAAATGTCATCCTACAGAAGCATCATCACTCATTTCATTTAGACTGCTTGTCCAGCTTCCAGCATGGCAGGGCAGAGCTGCATCCCCCTCTCAGTTCTTCAGGGACCAAGGAACATCCTCACTTCTGAGTCACTAACACAGGCTTGGCCTTACTTACTGATTTGAAGGGAAGCATTTGCTTTAAAGATGTAGAGCTTTAAATCAAATTTTTGAACATCCATTACTCAAACTGACTAACCTGTTCTGTAGTCCAGTGGAGTCCTCTTTAAGTCCAAAGAAAAGGGCACCTACAACCAGTCCCAGAAAAGCCGTAACACACACCTAAATGGAGAAAAAAGAAAAGAAGAGGAAAAGTATCATTCTCATTGCTTCAAAACTTCAGTAGTTTTTTTGTAAATATGTGGGAGGTGAGTGCGGATTGACAAGAAGTATTTTCAGAAAGGACAAAAGCTGCCCAAGCTGGGAAGGGGGTCAATGGGGTGTTAGCAACTTGCAGCTCTGCAGTACTGTGAGTCTCGAGCCATTACATCCTCCAAGAGGTGTCTGACACACAGCAACTCCCCAGTGCCACCTGCTCATGGCAGTGGCCAGCTCCTGCTGCCTCATGTGGTCAAGGCAGCAGAACAGTGAGACAAGAGGGACAGTATGGAAGCTTCAGCTGCTGCTCACTCTGCTGTGGTGATACTGGCAGGAAGCACAATCCTGCAGTGATATCATGGCTTTTCTGTGACCTCCTGTGAGGCCAGATCTTGAGGATCTGCTCCACGAGTGCTGGGAGGATGCTAATACTAGCAATGGGAGGAGGAGGATAGCAGAGGCTTGGTGGGGCAGGTTAGAAAGAGGGATCCCCAGCATCACATGGACCTCACCCAAACTCCTTTCCCCAGGCACAGTTTCAGCCATTCTTAGATGGTGTGATTAAATTAATTAAATTGATGGCAACATTTCTCCTCTTTTATTACTGATAATCTCCACCATTCATTCTCCTTTGGACAGAAAGTGACTCCCCATCTGCTGTCAGTGAAAAGGGTCACTTCAGTTCCAGGGCTGACCACAGCTCTACAGTGCAGTGCTTCTGTGGGGATTTCTCTGCAGCCATCTCAAGGCTACTTTGAGCTGGGCAATAAGTCTTTCCTAACTGCAGGCAGAGGATGACATTTTATTTTCATGCCCCACAATGTCTAATTGCTGGGCTCCATCACGCATCTTATTCTTGAGACTTTTTTTAACAAGATACTACGATTGGGCTGTAGACGTGTTGATATTTGCAGTCTGTAACACAATTTAAATAGCAAAGATAACACTTGGCTCAGGGATGAAGACCGAAATGTGTGCATCACACTTTTTAAACGCTAAACGCAAATGACAAAAATCACAGGAAAACTGATGGTATCAGGCAGTTCTGTCATCTTTAAGCCTGAGCAATGCATGAGTCTTAACACCATAAACCCCTTGATCCATGGTACCCTATCACTAAGATCCTGCCGAAAGGAGCAAATGTCAGGGATAATTTGGCTCCTAAGCCAATTGCAGTGGAAAGAAGGGATCATTTCAAGACCAATTTGGAACAGATTAATGAAAAAAAGGCTTAACAGGCCGTGTACCACTAAAAGAATGCTGGTCAAATCCATCCCTAATGAGGGTGGGGAGATAGAAAAGATTGTGAGAAACAAGTCAGGACCATTAACCTTGGGGTATTAAGGAGATCCTTGAGAGCCTAATTCTTGTCACAAGGTCAAGCTTTTACAAAGCAATTATTAAAGATCTCCATAGTATCAACATACAGACACACACACATATATCAAAGCTTTTTAACCTTGGGGATTCTGGGCTCATTTCCCCTCCACGCTGGCCATTTTTTCACTCATTATAAAAGTCATGATGAAGATAATTTATACCCCTGGATCCAGACCAATTTTTCTGTTGTCTTCTCTAGAATTGCTGCAAAGTTGCTGGTGCTGTGACTGCAGAGTTTGGCCCATGAATTACAGGATTCCTGAGGATTAGTCATTCTGCAGCCAGACATTCTTTATTTCTGAAGGCAATGTACAGCTTTGAAGAAGTTAACACTTTTGGTGTTGATTCTCCTGAAAAAGCAGCACTAACAGGGCCAGTCATGTAGAACATGCTTATCTTTCGTGGTGGGTGTTAGACCCCATTGTGGGTCTTCATCACATCTTATCCAGAAGACATCACCGCCAATATGGACAGCCAAATGACCAAACAGCACACACATTACGAGACTGTGAAAATATTTTTGCACTGGAGCCAACTGCCAGCACTTCACTTTGTACTGAAGGTTAATTAGGTACGCTAGTGTAGTCTGTTAACTTTTCCTGGCAGGGGAGAAGATTGGAGGCCAAACCTCACAGTGCCAAGCCTAGACTATTAGAGTCCACTTTGAAGAATATTCATGAGCAAATACAAGAAACTACTTGGGACATAATGTGCTTCTGGCCAGGAGCAGCAGAATACCCTACTGGAAAAGATCTTGCCTCCTAAAGTCTTTCAGTAGTCCAAAATTAATTACTGAACAGTCCTGCATGCTTCTCATTTGGGAGCATTGAGGACACCTTCTAGGGAATCAGATTCCCAGACCTTGAACACACTTTCTTCAGATGCTTACTACAGTCAAAATATCAAGAGGCAAAACCACCCAGTGACTCATCTAAAAATAGAGGAGTCAAATAAATTCAACATATACCACAAAACAATAGATACAAATAGCGTTACCTGAGCTATGGAAGCTTGAGGGTTTCTTATCATATTTTTAAATGTGCGCCTGGACACCCATTTCAGCTGATGAAGGAAGGAATTGGCATATGTGATTTGTCGGAAAACTGATTTGGTTTTCTTTTTATTTCCCAAAGAAATATTCTCTAATTGTGCTTTTGTTTCTTGGTAGTAGGTAGAGCTGGAGTATTTTTCTGCTAAGTGCTCAGCCAAGGTTTTATCATATTCAGTGCGTTCTTCAGTGCTCTCTGCTGAAAAGATTAAAAAGAAACATGATCGTGCCTGTAAGGGATGGGAAGGTTGTTTAGGAGTTAGGCCAGGGAAGTTATGTTGGGAGGGAGTGTTATTAATGAACCAGAAGAATTAATATGCACATGTAGTTTCAGTGATACATTGCCCTCATAGCACACAGTTCAAAAGAGTTTGTATAAGTAAGACCAAACCTCTGTGCTTGTCTGTGCAACCCGACCCACAGGCAGCAGCTTCACAGCAGACTCACTAGGTAAACCCTTGTCTGCCCATGAAGCTTCAGCATGACAGCAATATAGCTTTTAATCAAAAAGTGACTTTAACACCCGCTTCTCACCCCTCAAGGTTTCTGTAAATGATCTGTTTCACAGATCTGATGAGATAATCCTAGACTTTCCAGACTTTTAAATCCAGGTAATCCTGCATGTGTCTACTTTAGTCATGAAGAAATTTCAGCTGAACCTCCTTTTTTTCTCAACTATAGTCCGATGTGCTTTTTTCAACAACGTCTATTACCAGGTATAATATTTTTTAGACCCTGAAAAATGCATTTTGTAAAACAGTTGCTTTTTTGGTAAAGATATAGTGAAACTGTGTGTTTGACTACATAATATATTCATAATTTCATGTCCCTTTTCAGTTCTGGGAAAAGAGAGTATGCTATTAATGAGTGGTAGCAGAAAGGGATGAAAAAGCATGCTACTGAACGTAGGCAAGATCTGATTTTTTAATTTGGGGATAATTTCTGCCTTACCACAACTTCAGGGAAGCACCAAGTGAACACTGGTCCCCTATCTCTACCCCCTTTTCTCACCTGGCTCAGAGGAAGGAAAACAGTAATTTCCTAACAGATTAACCATTCCATTGGGTAAAAAATACAAGTCATAATTGCATCAAATTATGTCCCTAACTGGAATAATTGTCCTGGTTTATCATCTCTGCTTCTGCAGGACTTCAGTTGGTTTGCCTTGAACATGAAAGCTCTTTCTCTGTGTTGAGAATTACCAAAATAGTTTCTTATACTCCCAGACATTATAATTTCAATACAGGAAAATATTCTTGCACCTTTAACATTTCGTTATTTGAGTGTGACACAAAAGTATGCAGGTCAGTTTATAGATAGCAGTGGCAAATTACTAAATACCTATTTATGAGAGGCAAACTATTCTTGCATAGGCAGGAATGTTTTATATAGTAGAGCTGCATGTGAATTTGGTACTTATTTCAGGTTGTGCTAATTATTTTCCACACATAAACAAAAATGATTTAGGAATTGCGTGTTTGTGGGTTTTTTTCCTTTAAAGCAACATGGATCAGCAGTGCATGACACTTATGCATACAAACAGCCATACACTGTACAACAAAGTTATTGGTTGGTTGACATCTGTGAATGTTGTGTTGGACACCTGGAAAAATACATGTTGTGATAATTTGACTCAGCTCTGCATTTCATACCTGTGTTAATCTCATCAATCTTGTTCATTGCCACAGCGGTGGAGTCTCCATTGATGACGTCCAGGAAAAAGTCAGCAGGGTTGTTGTACGGCTCGCACTGGTAGCCTGTGGTGACAGCAGAACAAGCCCTGAGTGATTGTTGTGTGACTGGACAAAGGCTGTCAAAAACACAGCCACACGTTATGCCCACTGCCCAGCCTGTACCATGGGCAGGGCAGGCTTCAAAAGGTCTGTGCTTTCCCAAGGGATGAATGGCACTGCCAGGCAGCTCCATCAGTGAAAGCAAGGTGACAGCTGGCAATGTGCCTTCCCAGCCCTAGCGTGGGGTTTGGATAGTTAAGATGCACCCAGGAACAGTTCATTTGAGGTCAGCCCTATCATCCAAACCTGCATGTGGGTTAAGAGAAAAAACTCCCAGAGAAATGCTTAGCCTATTAAAACCCTGGGCTTGCCAATACATGCTGTGGCCAACTCTGACCCACAGCTATTGCCATTTTATTCAAGTTAGTGCACACTAAGGGTGTTGCTGCAAAAGTTGTGCTCACCCATGGACTGGAAGTACCCAATGGCATGCTGGGCTGGCCCATGGAACAGCACTCTCCCTGCAGCCAGCAGGGTCAGGTTGTCAAACAGTCGGAATATGGAGTACCGAGGCTGGTGGATGGAGAAGATTATTGTTTTTCCTTGTTTTGACATCCTGAATGTGAGGAACAACACTGGTGTCAGCTTTACAAGTCAATTCAGCCTTTAGATAAAAGAATTCACAAGTTCGGTTAAGCCTTGGTGAAGTTTGATTAACTTGGCATGCCAGAGAGGGGAGGAGGAAGGAAAAAAAAAAAGAGAAAGAAAATATTCAAATTATATTTATAGTGTCCATCTGAGAAAAGAATTCTCACTTTGGAGAGAGAGAATTCATACAGCCTTTTTCCTACCCTCTCTGCAGACTTGGCTCGCTGGTAAACAATTACCTGTCTGATTTCCCTATTTCCTCATTCTAACTGTAATTTAAGTAAAATACAACTCAAGTGTAGCCGAGAGGAGTGTTGAAAATAGGAAGCTGTTTCCAAGGCCATCACCTTTTCAGTAGCAGTAGAACAGCATTAGCAGTGCTGGCATCAAGTCCAGTAGTTGGCTCATCCAAAAACAAGATGGCAGGATCTGTGATGAGCTCCATCCCAATATTGGTCCTTTTCCGCTCTCCTCCGGACACCCCACGAGTGAACTGGGTGCCAACCTGCCACAAAACAAGAAACTTGCCTCATTTGGCCTGATGATAAATCCTTGAGTGAACAGCATCCTACCCACATAGCACTATTTGGGAAGAGTTGTAAGAAATTTTGGCCCTACTCTCTGGAATAGATGTAAATGTTATCTCACACATAGGCTATTTCTTAATGTTAGTATTACTTGAGGTGTTCTCTTTTTCTCCAAACATAGACTACCTTTCCCTTTCCCTGCAATGTAGTAGCACAGGGCAGCATCAGTGCAGTCTGTATAGATCCCCACAGAGAAATGTTATTAGTTATTGTATTACTGAAACAGACTGTTGAAATTAGCCTTTTTTTAATCTGCCATGCTGAGCCATTTGGCTCATTAAATAAATCACTTAATATTTACTCAGGATTTAAGCACCATTTTTACATGCCTTACCTTGGAATCTGCCACTTTGCTCAAACCCAGTTCCTTGATAATCTGATCCACCCGTTCTTTTTTTTCCTGTTCCTTCACTGACTTTGGCAAGCGAAGTGCTGCTGAGAACGTCAGATTTTCTCTTACAGTCAGGGTTCCCATCACCACATCATCCTTCATTAAAAAAAAAAAAGAAGATACTTGGTGGTTGCTTAGCAATTTCTATTTATTCCTCCAAGAACTGCATTTACCTATGTTTTGTGCTGTTCTTGCATGCAGAGGGACAGTAGCAATGGCCAGAGCATGTGATAAGGTGCATCTTCAATGCCTGTGTCATAGCAGTGTTGATTCCATGCACGTCATTGTATTTGACTTAATTCATAAGTAATGCAATATAGGAACATCCTTCATCATGCATGATATCAAAATCCATAAATAGCAAAGTAATTAAAAACTATCCCTTCTGTCTTCTTACCTTATGCAGTTTTTTGGAGGTGTTGAGGGAGAGACTGAAGGGCTGCAGGTACCTAAGGAGCAGCTACATCTCAGGTCATTATCAAAATGTGTTTGTTAAGGCGGCCCCAGCCTACCACAGGTGAGAGCAGGGAGAAAAGAAGGAAGGAAAACAGAGGTTGTGTCCATGTGGGTGAGGGTGAAGGTGTTCCAAACTTGTTTCAGCAAAGGAGGAAGGAGGCTAGGTTTATTAGATATTATCTGCTTGTCTCTTGCAAAGGGAATCTGTTAGATGTAGGAATTCAGTTACGTGTGTTTTGAGATACCCCCTTTCTGTAACATGCTGACCATGCTTTTGTAATTTTTCCAGGTGCACCTCTTACAGGCCTTGATAGACTTACAAGCCCACTGCTGAGCACGAGGAGTGGGGAGGGGAAAGAAATGAAAAGAGGCATATGGTTTTGCTTCTTTTGTCTATCTTCCCAGCCCACCCTGGCAGAACAAAGGTTTTCTCAGAACAGGAGTTAGTGACATTGTCACTGGGCAAGTGGAGGTGCCAGCTGCATATTACCAGAAAACATCATACTTGGAAAATACTCAATGCATATTGATGGCCTACAGCTGTTCCCCCAAATGGAGAACAAGAAGGGATCCAGATCCAAAGCATCTGCTCCCATAGACTGTAGAGCATTAATGAAAGCGACTCAAATACAAAGCACAGTATTTTTCCCAGCAAGGGTAGATGTGTGGAGAGTTGCTACAGCAACAGCCCTGCTTCTTCGATCAAGGCAAGGTACTTGGAACACAGCAGCAACTTTTTACAATAGAATCCATACAGTGATAAAAATTGCCTACCTGTACTACGTACCCAGAGGTACATTTAAAGTTGGCAGGCTGAGGAGCTCCATTGATCAAAATGTCACCAGAAAGCCCATGGGGATCCTTCCTTGCAGCCAAAATGTCAAGTAGCCTAGAGGAAAAGTTAGTTACTTTGTCAGATGAGCATGCAGGAGGTAAAGATCTCTGAACCACAAGCCCAGTTCATGAAACATACAGCTACATAAAAGCATACCACGTTAAACATTTGCAATTTAGAAAATATCCAGCAACTTTGAAGGACTGAGTTTCTTTTGTCCTGGTTTCCTAAGGAAACGAGATCTGTGCAATTTTATGTCCATTTTTTCAAGAATTTGAGCTTTGCTTAGAATGACGCATAAAGATCGTGTTATCAGCAAAGTCTGGACTAAAGCTGAGTTTCCTCTATGTCATATAACCTGTCTTTTTTGAATTCAAGTATTTCTCAGAAACGGGTGAGATTTGCACAGACCTAAAATGAAAGCACGATCTTTCTCTGAAAGTACTGTCCATTACTGCTAAATATGTGCAGTTTCATTTTCTCTTTGGTGTAATCTCTGTGTAGGACAAAGGGGGCACTTACGAAGATTTACCACTGCCAGTGGGTCCCAAAATTGCATTCAGTCCAGGTCTCATGATGCCACTGTAAGACAAAACAGATTTACAAAATAAATAGAGTGCATTTATCTCTTTTACTGTTTCAACTGGTAGGCTGTGTAAGTTATCTGTACAACCACCTTCTGCATCCCATTAATTTTGGACTTAATGAAGCTGCCTGATCACTAGCAAGATTTATGATCAGTCAAACTCCACTTTAATTTTTATTCCTAATTCAAGAAGAACTAGTCTTCATATAATGAAGACAAGACAGAAACATGAGTAAAATGTAAAAAAATCTGTATATATATTTTTACCCCATGGATCTCTGCAAGTGAAGCACACACTCGCTTTAACCATATTCAGTTCTAAAGGTATTATTCTCTTTAGCAGAGAGAATAATGGTCCCTGTAGACAGAACATACTAGGGATTTGTCTTTACTTAAACTGTAGTTGATAGTTTCTCTGTATCTGACATTAAGCCACATGAAACTCAAAAGCCAGATAGAAAATCTTCCAAATGACCAATGTCAGTCAACTGAGTCACCACAACATATGGCTCTTGAGGAATTTAGGAAAGACTTTAAGAGCTCATGTTTAGGAGGTGTGGAAATTGCATGGACAAAGAGCAGAACAGACAGAGCTACACAAAAGGGTGAATATTTATAACAGAAATTGAAGTTAGGGAGCTGAAAGTCACAGGTGACTTGGAATGGCATATTGTATAAGCACTTGCCACTTAGTTTAACTACTGAACTGTGAATGGGCAAACTTTATGCATCGATTATTGAACAAAGGCCATAATGACTTGATTCCTTTACTACAGTAGTGGTCAATGTTGGGGAAAAAAACCAAACAACCCAACAAAAAACCACCAAAAACCCAGAAAACTTTACACTTCTTTAAAATTAACATAACCCTCGCTTATATTACTGTCTTACACATTGTAAGTTAAACTCCCCAAGATTAACCTTTCCAAAGGCCACCTTAGGGTAGGAGACACAACCATCGAGGACAAGCTGTTGGTATCTCAGTCAAACACCACAGCACAGTGGGAGAACTGCCAAGTACTGCAGACTGATCAGAGCTGGCTGGTGTGGCCCTGTGCTGCTAGCAGCCAGGAGGGCTGTACCCCTAGGGCCCGGGGAAATGATGCCCAGCAGCATGAGCTTTCTGATGTACAGGCTCAGCACTAGAGACTGAGGACCACTGGAGCCTAGCAGGAAGCTTAAGCACAGCTGATAGCAAACACAAACATATAATTTTTCTAAATCTTGGTCAAATTTTGTACATTGTGCTTAATGGCTCAGTGATGTGAGCGGACTCAGCTGTCCAGACAGAAATAAAACATTCACGTACTCTAAAGAGATGTTTAAATACGTACTTGACATCTCTCAAAACTTCTTTAGTGGCTGTTTTTCGACAGCACAGGAACCCGGTCTTCATCTTCACACGGTAGCAGATGTTGTGGAAAGTGAGCACGGTCCCTGCCCTGCCAGCTAAGTCTGGCGAGGACGGCCTTCTGCTGGGGATGCCATTTGTATTCGAGTCTGACATCTGAATGCACAGGTGCGGCTGGTCTTCTGCCATCTTTCCTCTGGAAATGGAAAAACAGGTAGGGTAAGATTTGATTAGGTATGGAGAGGAAAGATGCGTCTTTTGGGTCTGCTGTTCGACACTGAACCTATGGGGGGCCTTGCAGATGCCCATCTAGATCTCTCTCTTTTGAATAAAAGTTTATCCTGGGTCCTGTGGGCTGAGACCTTGAGATGACACAGAGCTGACGAGGAGCTGGGTCTGCCCTATTGCTTCACACCTCACGCGGTGTTAGGATGGTAGAACAGTCTCCCTCCACCCTGACGGTCTGTTGTGGTGCCTTGACCCTGCCTGGCCACCAGATGCCCACCCAGCTGCCCTCTCAGGTGAATGTCTGCTCAGGCACCTGGACCACCCTCTCCCACTCTTTCCTCACTATCCTTGGTGTCTGTACAGCTGTTTCTCTCGTATTTTCCAGCATCAGTGACGTGCTCAGCTTTGCCAGCAGCGGGTCCGCTGGCACCAGCAGAAGGTGGCTGTGTCTGGCAAAGGGCAACCCCATGTTCTTTCTCACAGAAGCCTCCCCCTACAATACCCTCCCTGTGGCAGCACCTGGCCACAGGCACCAGCTGTGTCTGTTCTCCAGGTATGTGGAAGTAGGTACGTCTTACAGTGGCACTAGCACAAAATTATGCCCTTTCTGGAGGGCTGCCCCTGGCAGAAAGGCCCGTACTTAAACTGCACCCTTGTTGGAAACCACGGGTACAACAGGTGACTCACCAAAAGATCTGTTCAAAATTACTGAGGTCCAAAAGGACCTGGTCTTCTGCCCCTCCTCTTTTTGAATGTGCTTAGAGTCGGCCCATTAGGTACTCTTTAAAAGGGATGGTCTGAAAGTAAAGACATGCTTCCCATCTCTAGTGCTCCAGTGCAATGTTAACAAAATCTAAAAATTGCTGGGTTATTTTTTTAATCAAAATAATTTTGCCAAGGCTATAGGAACATGGGAGCTGCCATGTGATTCCAAGTAATTCTCTTCCTTGGATTTGATTTCCACATGAAAACTAGAAAGTAGCTGTGGGATAACTAAAGTTATCTCACCTCCCTTGACCTGCCTGTGAGCGATCCACTTGCACAGTGGGGCATCCCTGGCTATCCCCGTGCATGCAGACCTTTGTCCCCTTTGTGCTTCCTAAGTAGCACAGCGTCATTCAGGGGAGAGGTAGGATCTTCATATATCATGTTGACTCATCAGAGTCTAATTACTTTAATTGCCACTATAGGAATTGTTAGTAATGCACCAGTTAATGGGAATTGAGAGGGTAGATGAGCAGCTAGGAGCTCTGTAATGATCAGTCCCATACCTCAGCACAGTTACACTGCTTCCAGCAAGAAAGAAGGCAAATCATGAGACCATTTCAGACATGTTGAATGAATTTGAGAGCAGTTAATTAAAAAAAAAAAAGTTGTTTAATCTAACAGAGACATACTGTCACATAACAAACCAAGCCCTTATCTTGTCAGTTTGCTAAGGTTGCTTGGCAGACAGCTGAACTCAGCTGAACTCTCCTTTGTGGCTATCAACACAGTGAGTCCACTGGAAGTCCTGCATTCAGCAGGAGGCCTATCTACATGTAAAGGCTGGTTCATCTGTCTCCCAGCGATGCTACTCCAAATCTAGCCCAAGCTTGCCTCTTCTGACAAAGCCACAGTCTTCTGTGCTGGTCTTAATGTTTTAGTAACCAGTCATCTTGGACCAGTGCAAAGAAATTGTGTTCCAAATATTATTATAATGGAACTAGCTTTAATTTAAGCTAAAATGGATTTTGAGTAAATTGAACATCAATTAAATGCGCAACAATTGAAGTCGAGAGGCCTTTTACTGCCTGCACTCTACTTATGCCAGAGAAGACTTACCTACCTGCAGGAGGGCAGCTAATTTCATAAGGCTATTTATAGAGTAGTTTCTGGGCTAATCTGGCTGGACATCAATCATTGCCATTTGAAAAGATGCTTTCTAAGGTAACTTAGAGATGTGTGTTCAGAACTGCAGTGGAAACTTTTCACTTAAAGGCTCACCACGCGCTGAGCAGATGTTTGCTGAGCAAGGTGACAACCCCAAAGACAACAACACAGGTAGATATTACAAAATCCCTTAGACTGCTGGATAACCAGACAGCAAAATGAGAGTGCAGAATTCTTCAGGAAACAGTGTGACTCTGAGTTTGAGATATCACTGTATCTATAAGGTATCTAGATCAGTATGTTGCTTGATCGCATTTTTTTCTCAGCTTTACTCATGTAATGTTATGAACAAACGGGGAAGAGTGAGGTGGAGTCTGACTTCAAGCATTATCAACAAAATAGTTAAATTCTTCTTTGTTTCATTTGGTCTTGTTGAGGTTTTTTCTGAAGACCAGCACAAAAACCTAGCTCAGCATCTGCACTGAAATTTCAGACATGCTTTTTAGAAAACAAACTTTTCTTTTAAGAATTAAATAGATTCAATCATCCAGACTGAACTAGACAGGCAGACAGTAAGCACAGAATCAGAAACTGTCCTCATAAATACATGAGCACACTGCTTTCACAATGTCATTCTTAAGAACATAGAGTATGTCAAAGTCAAATTTAATTTACCAATAAAGTTATGATGAGATTGTACACATCCTTGCAAAGACGTGTGCAGAAGCTATACAAATAAAATACCTATGAGAAGAATCACACCTGTCCATAGCAGACAGTCCTCCAGTGGCTATTTAATAAAACTGTCGACGGGAAACTTCCCGTTGAGGAAGGCCCAAGCCCACTGATTGCCCAAATCTGCCAGAGAAAAACAGTGTGTTTTTGTTGTCCCTTGGGAAGCCATTGGCTACCAGCAGCTCTGAGAAGAGGCCGGATTCAGGTCTTGCTGGACCTCTGGTGTAAAATGGCACAGCCCTTTGTGTCTGCAGTGTGCTTGTGCTACTTGGAGGGACAGGGTGGGGTGCTGTAAGGGGAACACCTGGGAGGTAGATTTATCAAAGTAAACCAAATCTATTTCAGATGTTTGGTTAATACTGAAAATAGCATTTTACACTTCCAGAGCTTCTAGAATTTATTGCAGAAAGAAATCGCAGAATACTCATTCTCTTAAAGCTTGAGTGGTTACTTATGCTGTGTGAAATCTGTGTCAGCCGCTCTTTCTCAAAGGTGCACAACCATTGCAAGGTCTCCATCACAGCAGCTCCTGGGGATGGCAGAGCGAGAGAGCTCTAGACGTGCTGGTGGGAAGGGGCCTGGGGAAGTCCCCTAACCCAGCTTCTCCCTCTGAGCCGGACTGTCAACAACACACAATCGGATCAGCTGTGGCTTTGTCTGGTTGATTTTTGGAAACCTCTGAGTGGTGATTTGGATCTCGGCTAACAGTGTCCTGGAAGAAGACGAAGTGCTAACAGCAGAAATGATGCCCATGTGCTAAAATTAGGCATTTGATTTGCTTTTATTTTTTGGAGACCTGTTTTTCTCTGTGGGGTGAGGAGTTGCAGTGACATAACCAGTTTGGTATTTTACAAACCAACCTTTCCATTTCTGATCTAGCAATAAACTTCACCAGAAGAATATAGGGGCATGCCCCTTTACAGCTGATATAGTTGTCAGCTGTTTGCAATTGCTCCTTAGGAATGGAATTTTTAAAATATTGCAATTTTTAATTGTTTAAAAAATAATGTGTTTAATGTGACACAGTCATGAAATATTTTAGTTACAGGATGTGCAGGAAAAAGAAACAATCATGATGACTGTTAATCAAATCAGTTTCTATGCAAACTAAAATTCTCTGAATGAAGTTTCCTAGATTTCATTGCCAATAGCTTGCAAATATTTACTTTTGATCGGAAATGAGCAGTAGATTCAATGACAATATATACTGCCTGCTGTATTCAGAAATATTTGTTATTAGGATAATTTGTTTCATATCCTTATATCAACCCTGGGTATAATGCATTTTTTCATCAACAAAATAAAAAATTTATGAACTCTGGGAATTTTACAAATTTCATTTCTTTTGCTGTATAGTTCTAAAATATTTTCATATTTGCCACTGCTTTCAACATAATTTCAGTTCAAGCCTAATAGAAAATACTCTTCTTCAGAGATATTTAGTCTCAGAAAATTTTGTCAGAAAACAAAGCACGGGATCTAGAGATTTAACCTTTTATTAATGGCAAAATGAAACTACCTTATTTAAAATTACCATAAAATCTCTTTGCCCATTGTTTTCATGCACAGAAAACGAAACGCTCAGTACAGTCACTTTCCTGTGTGTTCTTCTGAGACTTGTAAAGTACAAAGTCTCATTTTTCCTACATACACAGGAGACACTAAACAAAAACATTGACTAATAACAAAATGTGCTAGAAAGTTCCATTGACTTAAACCCACTTGAACCACAACAATACCATATCTGGAGTCTTTCAAACAATTCCAGTAAACCTATTTGTATGCCTTAAGATATATTGTCTATATAAAAAGCCAAGTAACATTCATTCCTGTCAGTCTGCCTGCAAAGCTTTTGGCACAGGAGTGATTTGCAGTACAAATAGAAAAAAAAAAACCAATTCTAAAAAACAATACTATAGGAGGGGTACTAAAATTATGAATAGCAAAATTCAGAAGTGCATTTTTTAAAATGCAGGCAGTTATTCAAAGTATTTTATCTCTATAGAGAATAAGCACTGAAATTACTTAGAGGAAGAGTTTTAGAGACACAAGCACCTTTCAGCAGAGTTTTCTAAAGGAAGCTGCCTCAAACCCTTTTTAAAAATAGTCCCTTTTCCTTTTTTCTGGATACTTGAACATGCCAGAGAAACCACACTGAAGTATGCTATTATTTCTCTCATTTTTAATTGGTACAAAGTTTAGTTTTGCACCCTGCAAGCTAAAACAATACAGTATGTGCGTTTTGGACTTTGGATACATATAAATTCACAGTCATTGTACGTATACCTTGTTTTCCTCTTTAATTGCATGTGTTTACAGGGGCATAGACTGGCCAGAGAATGGATGTGGGGATGCAAAGTGGGCAGCACAGCCTAGTACAGCCAGCCCAGGACCACAGAAGTCCTCTTTCTCAGGAACACGTGTAGGAAATTAAAACCACTTGAGTAAATAAGGATAATACGGTTCAGGCAATCTGTAAGTTAATTGCCAACCGACTTACTAGGGATTTGTAACCTACCTTCCATGAAAAGAGCCCTGTGTGTTCATTGGGGACCGAGCAAGCAGCGCACTGTGCGTGCAAGCATTTGCAGGCGCGCTGTCGGCAGCGCGTTAACATGCACGAGGGGACCCCGAGTATGGCAGTTCCTGCAAAATAGTCTAACTTTTCACCTTTTTCCTGGTTTTAGTTTAAGCCTTGGAGCTTTCCACCCCCCCATCTATAAAACATATTTTCATTGATTTCTTCCCTTCTCACTTAAAATCCCCTGAAAAGCTGGGAGAAGGTAGGCGAGCGTTTCACTGTGTTTTCCTTGGCTGTTGGAGGAAAACAGCTGCTGAATATAATTCCACAGCGATGGCAGCGTAAGCAATTTGTGGGCGAGGAAGC